TGAAATTGTTTGACGAAAGTCTGGGCCATGTCGTCCCAAACATGCCAGTGAGAGATATCTTGGTCAATGAACCATTCGGAGGCTACCCCTACCAGACTCTCCCAGAAATAAGCCATCAGCAACTCTTCTTTTCCTCCTGCACCCCTCAGCTGGTTGCAGTACCTTTTCAAGTGGGCGATAGGGTCGCCGTGTCCATCATATTTCTAAAATTTTGGTGTCTTGAACCCTGGGGTAAATGGATGTGAGGAAACATGCACAGATCACTGAATGAGACACTTTTGTGACCACCTAGTCCTTGTATGTTCTTTATGTTCTGCTCAAGACTTTTCATTTTCCTGACCATCTCATCTGGCTCTCCTGTCTTTATAGCCTTTTTATTTTCTGCAGGTAACTCATACTGTGGGGTCTGATTGTGTGGATCCGAACCCTTAAAAGCCATATCTAGAGAGTAGTATTAGCCATCGTAAGCATGAGATAGTGGCTCGATGTTTGGCCTCGTCACAGGATTTGGTGGGGGGATTGTATACACAGGCAGACCGGACATGACGAGAGGTGTGTTCTTAACCGGTGCGGCAGGAGGCTGCGCATTAGAGATACCAAGGACGGTATGGAAGCTGTAGTTTGGCACATACCCTGGTGGTAGAATGTGATCCCTCGTTGCAGCGAGCACTGGTTGAGTAGCCTGGGGTATGGTGGAAGTTCCCTCAGAGGGACCCTGAGGCGGAGGCTGACCAGAGACCCAAGCCTGATACACATCACTCAGTTGATGTTTCAATCTTCTTACTTCCTCCGACTCTTGCTCAACTGATTGACCCGGAGGGTCGTCACTAACCAACTCAATTTCATCATTGTTAGCCATCGCTACCTTCCCCTTAGATCTGGTCAAGCAATGATGTGTTGCCAGTTTCACCACAAACCAACCACCTTAATCTTACTATATAAGAGGCAACAAACTTGTAAGGGTTATGCATTTTATAAATACAAATCACACGTAACTATGCTATGCTCCTAACATTATCACGTCTCTAACATGCTTTTGGAAGGCTCCATGTTTCATTCTGGCTTATATGGTTGCTGCTTATTGACACTCTTATTTATTCCCCTCTTCTTTTTTTTCCCTTTTTTTTGTTTTTTTTTACACCTCGCCTTATTTTAGAGCCGTCGAAAAATATTTCGATCGAACCTTTTGGGGGTTGCCTACGTATCATGTCGCCGCATAAATCAGATCATTACGTAGTTCAAGGACATGACCCCCCCCCCTTTTTTTTAAATTAACAAAACAAAGTTTTCCCCCTTTTTTTATGTACAAAAAACAACATTTTTTTTGGTTCATTTTCGAATTTTCCTAAAACAAAATCTTTTTCATTGATTTTTGATTTTTTTTGGTACAAGACAAAGGAAAATTACATAAAGATACAACCCAAAAGACGAATATTTAAACAAGACCGGACTTGACTCAAACAAGACGAATATTTAAGCAAGACTCAAAACACTAAAAGAGTCTTACAAACTTGATGACTACAAATGAACAATCAAAGTGGACTGCCAACTAAAAGAAGACTCTAATCTCCAAATGAGAATCCACCGACATCATCGTAGTTAAGGTGCTTATTCCTGCGGCTGACCTCCCATATCATGGTATATGCGCTTTAAGTCTGTGGCAATGTGGCATGCGAAGTTACTACCGTAGCAAATTGCTCTCGGGTCAAACCTTGAAAGTCACACACCCTCGAGCGGTATAAGTAGCCACCTCATAGACCCTCCTTTTAACATGTTCCTGGCTCCGACTTAAAAACTGGATGTGTCGCTCATGGTTATTGGCTATGTCTGATATATCCGCCTCGCGTTCTGACGCCAGATTCAGCTGGTTCTGGACCCTTGCTAGCTCATTCTCTAGCTGGTTCTTACTTGATTCTGCAACCCTGGCCCGAGCCCTTAGATCATGGATGATAAGGTTGTAATGCATTCCTTCGTGCTTTGGAATGGCAGCTTGTTGCTGAGTAGCGGCTTCTATTCTCGCTTGTCGTAGCTGTGCTTGAAGCGCTTGAACCTCATGTATTAATTTGGATTTCTCCTCTTTAAACTCAGTATACTACAAATCCCTATTCACGTTGACGATACTTATATCCCTACGTAGTTCGCGGATGATGGATTCATAGTCTCTTGCTATTTCCTCCTTGGCCTGCCCCACTCTTGTTCTAATTTCAGTCTCCCATTCTGTCGTGCTCTTCAGAATTGTCTCTTGCCTAGATCCAAAATCAACTTGCTCATAGAACCACTCAAAATATGCGGGGTCTAACTCTCCTTGATCTTGATCTTCTATCATAGTGTAAAATTCAAGCACCTTAATTTCATCCCAAACCTTCTTAGCATAGGCCTCACGAATAGGATCCTCCGATGTTACCTCCCACATAAATCTTTGTATGTGCTCCACTGTGGGCACGACTTGTTTTCGACCTAATTGGCGTAGGGCTCTCATAGGCACATACTGCTGAAAACCCCGAAGACCCATCAAAATCAAAAATGAATGGTGGTAAGACCTGTATATGACCTCTTTTGGTGAGAATGAGTGGTATTTCCATGTGATTCCAGTAGCAGTTAACTTTTGAAGATACCCTCTCCATGCTTAGACACCCTTGGGGAAGTTACTATCTTCGGTCAAAACTTTAGACCTATCTTCAAGCTCATTTGTTGCACCAATGGACGCTAAAATTTACCCGTACGGGGTGAAGGAGAAGGTGCTCTAAAAACCATATCTGGAGTATGATGTTACAACCCTCAAAGAAATCTTTCCCTTCCTGACATTTGGTTAGGGCACGGTAAATATCTGACAATACCATAGGAATGATAGTGACATCCTTTCCACGCAATAAAGCGGTAACTATGCCAGATAATCGAATATCAATATTTTTGTCATGCTCGGGAAAACCATCGTCCCTAGAAATGCCACTAGGAAAGCTCTACGCCCATGGCTTTGCCAAGCTTTGTATTCAATTTTATTATCAAGCTCTTTCCCGTGCTTTGAAAATCCACCCGGACACCCATACCTGTCGTACAAGAAATCTAATCGAACGTGCCCTCGTTCCACGCTTGCTATTTTATTTTGGCTGATTGTCATCTGCTCAAGGAACTTACTGCCAGTGACATCCCTCGGGGCCAAGGGTCTCTTCTTCCGAAGCTCATCGCCTAATTTTGTGTATCCAGCTAACTCCTCTAAAGTGGGAGTCATTTCGAAACCATTAAACCGTAATACGTTGTTATTGGGATCCCAGAAATGCACCAACGCCTCGATTAAATCCCTCCTTGGGTTGATCTCCATAATATTCACAAAGTTACCCAGATGGTCCTTTATCTTTTCCTGCTCACAAACACCCATATTTTTCCACCATTGCCTCAGCAACCGGGGTGTTTTATGCACAAGGCAAATCTGCAAGGGCTCATCATATTTTGGATTTTTATCAGCTCTTCCACTTACTGAATTCATATCTTACCTGGATAAATAAAAATATGAGGTCAAGTCCTAATATAAACTCGAAGAAATGACACCAAGCAGACTTTTGTATAAGACAATGAACGAACTTCTTAGTGGATAATTCCTCGTATTGAAGGATCAGTCAACTAAAACCCAACTGATCAGACTTGATTGATATGCCAAATTTGGACGAAAAGGACCAGACTCTAGGATGACTAACGACGTATCTCACCGAGGAAACAAGACATGATAAAAACCGGCCGACCGAGGACAAAACGATAAAAGGTGACAAGAGGGACAAGATGGTTATTCTTATGAACACGGTTCTTCAGTACTTCGAAGGAAAGTACTATGGTTGTCTCAGTAAAAACATCCGTACACATGGATAAACGGGTAAACGCATAGAAAAAATTCATTCTTTTACGAAAAAAGCCATTATGGTACTTCCAAAAAAAAAGTTTTAAGGTTGACTCGGCTAAGATGGCCGAAAATAAGGACAATACGGCAAAAATGTGAAAATAAATAAACAAAATAAATATTTTGCGAAAATAGCTCCTCGATGCTTCCAAGGAAGGCTGTCCTGGCAAAACAGCCGGAATACGAGGGCAAAACAGTAAAAGGTGACCAAAAATAGCAATTTTTTATTATTAATTTTTTTTGAAAATTTTATGCACATGCGTAACTTTTATGCTTTTCTTAAAAAAAAATATGGGCTAACCCTGATGGAGGTTGCCTACGTATCTCACAGGGTAGTGAGAATCAAGCACGCGTAGTTCGATGAAACTGATTATTTGTTTTCTGATTCTTATGAAAATTAATCTTTACACCTCACTTCAACCTACTTCAAAATTTTAGTAAAAAAAAGGATTATTTATACTAAACTAGGAGAATGTTTTTTTTTTGTTTTTGTTTTTTGTTTTAGTTCCGCTCAACTAATTCTCTAAAGCTAGTTAACAATGCAAGCAAGCCTTCCAAATGATGCAGCAAATAGCACATAAGTGAGCATGATGGTCTCAAAGAGGATACCTGTCCTATACAGCCCCGACCCCCGTTCCAAGCTTCGCTAAGTCAAATATACGTAATGCAAATAAAGCGAACCTACTAGGGATATCCGGCATAAGGTTTTTTTTTCTAGGTTTAAATCCTAGTGGAGAATGTATCTAGACTGGCTTACTCGAGCAGACAACTCGAGTCGAGGAGGTTCAACGTACCGGTAGCATTGCTTTCCGGCTTAGCTGGTGGTGCTCCCCGCCTAAAACATGTGTGACTAAAATCCTTCACCGGGTGACTAGCACCTCGGCTATCTCAAAGAAAGCGGGCTATGTCAAGCAAATGCCCAATTTTTAATTTCAAGAAAACTCAGAGGGGGTGCGTGAGAAGACAGTTTATATGTACAGTTCAACAATATCAAAGCGGTAAAAAGCAAACAAGTAGCACATTATGCCCAAATAAATCACAGTATATACAAAATTAATAAATCCAAATAAAAGTCAACATGTACAAGCTCGAATTCTGGTTTTCCCCAGCAGAGTCGCCAGAGCTGTCACACCCCTTTTTCTACCCCCAAAAAAAGATATAGATGTTATGGATTATGGGTGGGTTAAAGAGTTTTTCCAATTAAAGTGACAAATTTGAATAGGGGTTATTTTGTTTACAGAGTTGCCACTTGGAATTGATTTTTTGGGTGTTCCAAGTCACCATTTATTTGAATCCCTAGTCAAAGAAAGGTTTGACTCTATTTTTACCGGTCCGCGAAAATAAAGTTCGGGTAAGGAATTTTGTTGACCGAGGAGAAGGTGTAAGGCATTCCCCGAGTCCCGTGGTTCTAGCACAGTCGCTTTTATTGACTAAACTTTGCTTGAATTAATTTTGGAAAAACTGTGCTTTATTTAATTTATATGTTTTACCTATCCGCTTTTATTTTCTTGATTATTAGATTTATTAAAAAAAATAATTTTTTGGATAAA